TTGCAGCCATCATTGTTGTTTGGCGGGCCCAGGCTGGATTCGAACCTGCCACCTTAGGTGTATATGGCTGGCACCTTGGCCACTTGAGCCACAGGTGCTGAGCCAGTTTTTCATTTTTAATAGAAATGGGGTTTCACTCTTGCTCGGGCTGGTCTCAAACTTGTGAGCTTAAGGAACCCATTTGCCTCAGCCTCCCAGTGTCGTATTACCTTCATGAGCTAGCATTCCCAGCCATGAGCCTGCTATGTGATTTTTTTGTTTGTTTGTTTTTTGAGACAGACCCTCAAGCTGTCACCCTGGGTAGAGTGCAGTAGCATCACAACTCACAGCAACCTCCAACTTCTGGGCTTAAGCAATTCTCCTGCCTCCGCCTCCCAAGTAGCTGGGACCACAGGTGCCCGTCACAGCGCCTGGCTATTTTTTGGTTGCAGCTGTCATTGTTTTGGCGGGCCCAGGCTGGATTCGAACTCACCAGCTCAGGTGTATGTGACTGGTGCCTTGGCCACTTGAGCTACAGGCGCCGAGCCTGCTATGTGATTTTTGGCAAGAATCTTAACTTCTCTGAGGTTGTTTCCTTATTTGGGTTTTTGTGAAGATCGGATAAAGCAAAGCATGTAAAGCAATGATTGATGCACAGTAAGTGCCTGGGCAGTGTTATAAAAGGAAACTGCTTGGCCTTGTTTGTGTGCCTGGACTAGCTCAAGTACTCTTCAAAATTTATTGCCATTATATATTTAAACAAACGTGAAATCACAGAAAAATAGTCATCTTTGATTTACTAGATCTCAGTCTAGAGCCACAGGCCCACCCCAATGTAAAAAAAATTTTTAAGTGAATATTTAAAAGTTAATGAATAAACCTTTCAAATGTAGTAAAAACTTTTCTGAGTAACTTTTTTTTTTTTTTTTTAAGACAGCCTCACTATGTCATCCCTGTGGCATCACAGCTCACAGCAACCTCAAACTCTTGGGCTTAAGCGATTCTCTTGCCTCAGCCTCCCAAGTAGCTCAGAGTATAGGCGCCCGCCACAACGCCTGACTATTTTTTGGTTGCAGTTGTCATTGTTGTTTAGTTGATTTGGGCTGGTTTTGAACTCACCTAACAACTGTGCTATGGGCGCTGAGCCAAAAGTTACTAAAATTTGGAGGGCACTTTTAAGGAATTACTTCTGTACATTGACATACTGAACACTTTAAAAGCAGGGGAAACATCTCTATGTATCCTCAGCACCTAAGATAGTACTTAGAATTTAGTTGGTGTTTGGTGGATAATATTTTTTCTTTCCATAAACACTATTCACCATGATGGTGGATAAAGTTTTAGAATTTTCAGTTTTAAGGCATGAAAGATCCATAAAATTCGTGATGTGTTCATGATCATTTTCATAAAATTCATGATCATTTTCACTAGAAAATGATCTTTAAATACTCAGCCCATAACATCACATATAGTTTTTGCATGAAATAAATGTAAATAATTATGGAAGCTGTTTTAAGATTCAGTACAAAATTATATCATAGCAAAAATAAGCAGAAGAAAATAGGGCCCTTGTGCCAAGTAACATTCCTGAAGGCCACTTTGATTTTCTTTCTTTCTTTTTTTTTTTTTTTTTGAGATAGAGCTTCAAGCTGGCCCCCTGGGTAGAATGCTATGGCATCACAGCTCACAGCAACCTCCAACTCCTGGGCTCAAGCGAGTCTCCTGCCTCTGCCTCCCATGTAGCTGGGACTACAGGTACCCGCCACAATGCCCGGCTATTTTTTGGTTGCAGCCGTCATTGTTGTTTGGCGGGCCTGGGCTGGATTCGAACCTGCCACCTTAGGTGTATGTGGCTGGCGCCTTAGCCACTTGAGTCACAGGCGCTGAGCCTTTGATTTTCTTTCTTAAAAATGCAACAACAAGGCAGGGTGCAGTGGTTCACGCCTATAATCTTAGCACTATGGGAGGCCAGGGAGGGTGGATTACCTGAAATCAGGGGTTTGAGACCAGCCTGAGCAAGAGTTGAGACCCCTTCTCTAAAAATAACTGGGTGTTATGGCAGATGCCTGTAGTCCCAGCTACTCCAGAGGCCAAGGCAAGAGAAAATGGCTTGAGCTTGAGAGTCAGGTTGCTGTGAGCTGTGAGGCTATGGCACTCTAAGGAGGGTGACAAAGTGAAATGCTGTCTTAAAAAAAAAATGCAACAACAAAATTTGTAATTTATTTTAAAATACATGTTCATTAATGAGTGGAGGCACTTAAACATGTTACAAATAATAAAAGATCCCATTAGTATGTTAATTATTGAGCTTTTTTTATACCTGCATTTATTATATCCTTGGTAATGGGTTTTGGTTATCACTGCATAAATAAATGAATGCTAAATTATTAGGTGTTGTATTCATTGTTTGTTTATTTTTGAGACAGAGTCTCACTTTGTTGCCCTGGGTAGAGTGCTATGGTGTCACAGCTCACAGCAACCTCAAATCTTGGGCTCAAGTGTTTCTCTTGCCTCAGCCTCCCAGGTAGCTGGACCTACATGCACCCACCACAATTTCCGGCTATTTTTTAGAAATGGAGTCTTGTTCTTGCTCAGGCTGGTCTTAAACTCCTGAGCTCAGGCAATCCACTCACCTCGGCCTCCCAGAGTGCTGGGATTATAGGTGTGAGCTACCATGTCTGGCTTTATATGGTGTATTTAAATAAAAGTTTTTCCTAATGTCTGGTCTTAGTCTACAAAGGAAATGAAAAAGTACTTTAAATATGAGGAATTATAGAAGTAATGAAAAACTTGATAATGCTAACACTTCTTCTTTTCAATTTAGATTATCTTCAAATTTACAGCACCATTTCAGCTTGTCATCTGTTTATTCACATTATTTTCCTGACACTGGAATTCCAGAAGTGACCACCTGTCATTCCCGAAGTGCTATAACTGTGGATTATATTTTCTACTCTGCAGAAAAGGAGGATATCACGGGGCTCCCAGGTAAAGAATACATGCAATCTTAAATTCTGCTGGAGAGCACAGTAGTAAAACCTTAAGGTGGAGAAAGTTGGCTAAACATCTGGATAAAGTTCTAGATTTAAAAGTTAAAATATTTTGAAATAGCTTGGTAATATAATTGAATAAATCTGTTGATGACTTACACACAAGGAGGCAATAAAACACTCCAAAGCAAATTATACCTAAGAAATACATCCTCAGGCCTACCCTCCAGTTCTAGTCAGCTTCTGATTTGTAGGTCTTTCATACTGCCCTTGTTTTTCCTTGCCATAATTTACTCTTTTCTGTGACAAAACTAAGTATGTTGCTAATGGTTATAGTTTTGTGCTTAAATTTTACTAAGGCATGCTGCCTTTACTGTAGAACCATGCTTATGCTGCCAGCAACAGTTTTGTTATGCTGACCCTGGAATATTGGATCTTTTATAGAAAAGTGTATATTAGAGGTGTGTCCAACTTGTGGCCTATGGGCTGCGTGCTGATTTTGTGAGGACTTTTTTTGCTTATCTGAGTTGGTGTCAAATAATCACAAAAAGTATGTATGGACTTTTTTTTTGCTAATCAGCTTCTGTTAGTGTTTGTGTATTTAATGTGTGGTCCAAGATAACTCTCATTCTTCTAACATGTGGCAGAGAAAAAAAAAGGTTGGACATCCCTGGACTCTATACTATTATGACTTTTCAGAAAGCAAAGGGGATAAAACACTTTGCCTTGTATGATTCAATGAAAATCAGCTCTCAAACTTTAACCAAAGTATTTAAAGGGGAGCAGAAAATGTACTTTAAAATTACTGAAAATACAAGTTAGGAAAACTTTGAAGTCCAAAATGTGGGTAGCTATATTTTCTTATTTTCCCTTTTTTTCTCTTCCAGTTTTTTGGCATTACTTTTCTTTTTGCTTTTTGTTTTTCTGTTTGTGTCTCCTACCTTTCTTCTGGGAATAATCTTATTTGTAATACTCAGGAGGTGGAGCTTACTCCTATACATACATAGATCAAACTCTACAAAATATGGCTGCTGCTTTGAATTTGTATTAAGATTCTGGTAGTTGTCATGCCAATAGAAGTTCACTAGGTGGCAGGAGAGTGTCATGGATCAGCACCTCAAATTTTTTAGCTTTAAGAACTTGCCATCTTTTACTCAGTGGGTACTAACTCTCTGAGACTAAATTATACTAATTTATAAACTTCTACAGGCCTGTGGCTTGGTATGTCTGGTTTTATGCAACTACAGAATTGTTGGTATATAAATTTCTTACCTAGCTGTCAAACTCAAATTACTCTTAACATTCTTATGTATTACATTGATATTTTCTTCTAAAAATTACTTATAGAACTTGAAATAGAAAAAAAATCTGAAAATTTTATGTAGTTTGAGAATTATAATTAGGTTATAATTCAATAAAGCTTTAATTATATTCTAAAAACTGTTTCATACTTGTCTTCTGGAGGGGTTGCAAATTCTATATCATAGTTTGGCAAAAAGACTTGTATTATTAATTTACAATAATCTGTTGACACAGTTTCATTAAATATATATGTGCTTCTTTAATGTAGGAGCTGAAGTTGCTTTGGTTGGTGGCTTGAAACTTCTAGCTAGACTGTCACTTCTTACAGAACAAGACTTATGGACTGTTAATGGACTTCCAAATGAAAATAACTCTTCAGATCATCTGCCTTTATTGGCTAAGTTCAGACTTGAGCTTTAACTTGGCTTGCATACAAAATTCTTTCCAATTTGTATTGTTTTTTGAAGAATGTAAAGTTCTTAAGTGTTTGCATGTTATTTTTGTGCTGTAGAGTTTCTGAAGAGGTTATGTTAGATGCTTTGAAACATATCAAAAGAAACAAGTTTATAACAATTTTCTTTTTTAATAATGAAAAATATTTTCTTGACAAGTGAGATCTAAATACTCTTTATTATAAAAGAGGTGTAAAAAGTTTTGTATTCTAAATCTAAGTAGAATTGACAGTGATTTTTAAATATAATGTGTCTTTTTTAGTCTGCTTAGTAAAGAATTTCATTTCATGTTTTTGGGAAGCTTTACAGTGGATCTGAAGTATCTTTGAATTCTTGCAAACCACAACTTGTTTCCTTTCTGTAAGGCTTGACTTCATTGGGAGAACCCTTATGTTTGTTCAGTCTGACTTAGTTTATCTCAGAGATCATTGGGTCATTCACAGGTGTCCAACCTACCATTTTAGTTTGTTTTTGAAGGGGCTTGATATTGCTTTTTAAATTGTACAAAATGCTTAATCCATCTTACTACTGTCCCGAGCCATGTAATATGCCTGCATAATGTTGGAGAAGTGTTTCAGAAATATAGGCCACCATAATTAGTGAGAGGATGAAGTGCTTTACAAATAAGTCCACTTTTTCCATCCTGTAACAGGAGTAAGCCTACGAAAGGTAGAGACTCTAGAGTTATGCCTTTGTTTCCCTAGCATTGTTTTCATTTTCATTTATTTATTTATTTATTTTTTGAGACAGAGTCTCACTTTGTCGCCCTGGGTCAAGTGCTGTGATGTCACAGCTCACAGCAACCTCAAGCTCTTAGGTGTAAGTGCTGGTCTTGC